ACTAATCCTATTTTATATCTTAAATTTATGAAATCTCTTAAAATATAGATGAATAGTAGAAGACTTAGGAATCCATTTCTAAAAGTCAAATGTAATATTTGTGGATTGATTGAACAGATAGCTCACACCTATACTTTGAAGAAGAAAACTTATTTGGTGTGGAAACCTAAGATGCATAAACCTATACATAAAATACATGTATCTATTTATAAATTGTCAAAAGGAGAACCCAAACTTGTTTGGGTTTCCAAGTCTAATGTTTGATAATTTTTGTAGGGTTGCTCTCACACAAGACCTCGTAAGAGCATATGGTACCTGGACAGCGGACGCTCAAAGCATATGACTGAAGATACTGCACAATTCATATCGCTAGAAGCCAAGAGTGGAGGAAAGGTTACACTTGGAGATAAAAATACAAGAAAGGTGATTGGGTCAGGTATGATTGGAATCTTTTAAAAAAAAATTATTGAAAATGTGTTATTGGTAGAAGGCTTAAAGCATAATTTGTTAAGTATAAGCCAGCTATGTGATAAAGGATAATGTGTGAATTTTTTTCCTACTAGCTGCATATTAAGCCTAAATGGAAATGATATTTTGAATGGTATAAGGGTAAACAACGTGTATATGCTAGACTTGAATTGCATTAAAACTCCTACAGCTTTTGTTTAAAAACTATTTTTGATGAGTCATGACTTTGGCATAAGAGACTTTGTCAGCATGAAAAACCTTAGGAGGATTACCCAAAAGAACCTAGTGAGAGGTATATTAAAACTAGACTTTATTAATGACCATCTATGTGATGCATATCAATTAAGAAAACATGTGCAGTTCTCTTTTAAGTCCAATAAGGATCTTAGAACTAGTAAATCATTGGAGATTTTGCATATGGATCTTTTTGGACCTGTTGGAACTGTAACTCTATGAGAGAAGGTATATGGATTTGTGATTATAGATGATTACTCTAGATTCACATGGGTTATATTTCTATTTCATAAGAGTGAATCATTTGAGAAATTTAGAAACTTTTTGACTTGGATTTAATGAAAGCTAGGATGTGAAATTATGACTATTCAAAGTGATCATTGAGGAGAATTTAAGAATGAAAATTTTGAGTATTTTTATAGGGAAAAAGAAATTGATCACAACTTTTCTGCACCTAGAGCCCCTCAGCAGAATGGGGTAGTCGAAAGGAAAAACATAACATTAATAAAAGCCGCCCTAGCCATGTTAGTAGAATACTCACTTCCTAAATATTTTTGGGCTGAACCGGTTAGCACTGCATGTTATGTTTTGAATAGGGTGAATATGAGATCAAAATTAAATAAAACATCCTATGAGTTGCAAAAAGGAAGAACACATAATTTGTCACATTTGTATGTTTTTGGATGCAAGGTGTATATTTATAACAACGAAAAATCTGCCTTAGGAAAATTTGATCCAAAATCAGATGAATGAATTTTTATAGGATACTCAATTGTTGAAAAATCTTATAGAGTATTCAATAAAAGAACTTTGGTAATTGAGGAGACCACACATATTATATTTGATGAATCTGAAATTTTCGAAGAGCCAAATGTTGTAGAAGATGAGATTGAGATTAACTCCTAAAAGATTGATAAAATAAATTTGGAAGAAAATTTGGAGAAAGAAAAACCCTTTGCTTAGATATTTGAGATTTTCTAAAAACCACCCAAAGGAATTGATTATAGGAGAACCTAGTGAGGGTGTAAGGACTAGGCGTGGACTAAATAAAGAAGTCAATCATTCAGTCTTTATTTCAACAATAGAACCCATAAATATTGATCAAGCACTTTCGGGTGAATTTTGGATTTTGGTTATTCAAGAAGAGTTAAATCAATTTATAAGAAATAAGGTTTGGGAATTAACTGTAAGGCCAAAGGATCAAAGTGTAGTTGGAACTAAGTTGGTATTCAGAAATACAATGAATGACTTAGGAGTAGTCATTAGAAATAAGGCTAGATTAGTTGCTAAGGGGTAAAATCAGATTGAAGTGATTGATTTTGAGGAGACATTTTCCCCTATAGCAAGACTTGAAGCAATTAGGGTTTTATTAGCCTTTGCCTGTTTTAGAGGATTTAAACTGTACCAAATGGATGTAAAAAGTATCTTTTTAAATGAGGTAATTCAAGAGAATGTTTTTGTAGAACAACCTCCAGGTTTTGAAAATTCTAAACACCTAAATTATGTTTTCAAATTGAAAAAGGCATTATATGGATTAAAGCAGGCACCTAGGGCTTGGTATGAAAGATTGAGCAACTTCCTACTTGAAAGATCATTTGAAAAAGAAAGTGCTGATATAACTCTCTTTTTGAAGAAAATTAGAAATGATATACTCATTGTACAAATTTATGTTGATGACATCATCTTTGGATCTTCAAATAAAAATCTTTGTGATGATTTTTTTAAAATAATGAGTGGTGAATTTGAGATGAGTCTAATGGGAGATTTAAGTTACTTTCTAAGCTTTAGCATTAATCAAATTGAGGAGGGTACATTTTTTAGTCAGTCAAAGTATGTTAAGTACATCCTCAAAAAATATGAAATCGATAATGCTAAACCTGTTAGTACACCTATGAGTTCCTCAGTTCAGTTGGATAAGGACCCTAAGGGAAAATCTATTGATTAAAAGAAATTTAGAGGCATAATTAGATCTTTGCTTTATTTGACAGCTAGTCAGCCCAATATCATGTTTAGTGTTTGTTTATGTGCTAGATTTCAATTAGATCTAAAAAATTCACATTTGACAATAGTAAAAAGGATTTTAAGATATCTGTTAGAAACTCAGAACTTAAGAATTTGGTATCCTAAGTTTAGCTCTTAATTTGAAATAATTGATTATTCAGATTTTGACTTTGCATGTTGTATGGTTGATAGAAAAAGAACTTCTGGAATATGCCAGTTTATTGGAAATTCTTTAGTCTCCTAGTCTAGTAGAAAACAAAATTCAGAGCCCTATCTACTGTCGAAATTGAATACATTGCAATAGGAAGTTGTGTGGCATAAGTACTTTGGTTAAAACAACTGTTGATTGATTTAGGAATAACTATAGGCACTATTCTAATTTATTGTGATAACACTAGTGTTATTTGCATTTCTAAGAATCCTATTCAACATTCAAGAACCAAACATACAGACATCATGCATCATTTCATAAGGGATCATGTATCCAAAGGAGAAATTGAACTCATTCATGTTTTTAAAGAAAATCAACTTGCTAACATTTTTATAAAACCACTAGCCTTTGATACTTTCAGTACATTAAGAACTAGACTTTGTGTAATCAATTTGAATGCTTAATTAAAATGATTCTGCAACATTGATGTGTGTTTTTATAGTTAGTGTTTCGTGTGTATTTTTGAGTTTGTGATTTTCTGTATTTGTGATTTTGTGTTTTTATCTTTTTTCTATCATTTTTTATTGTGTTATTATTTTAGTTTTAAATTTTCACATCTAGATTTTTTAGTGCATGTTTTAAAAAAATTGAGTGAAAATTATCTAGGATGAAATTATTTTTATACGGGATGAATTATGTAGTGTGTTAACTGTCGGATTTGAATGGTTTGCGTTCAGTTTTTATTTTTCACTTCGTCTGTACGATCGTCATGATCATCCGGACGAAATTTTAAAACATCTGGATAAGGTAGTTTTTATTATGTATGATCGTACATACGAATATATGATTCATACACACAAATGCTTGGTGATTCGAAGTGGGGGATGGTTTCAACTGCCATTAAAACGATCTTAAATTTTTTGAACCAGGATGAACACTTATTCGTCTGTACGATCGTTTGGTCAAAAGTATGTGCGAAAGGATGCATTGTTTCTTGTGTGATTATGAAAAGACGTTTCATTTTTGGACTCATTCGCTAGTCCATATGAAATTATTTTGTACGGGACGAACAAAAATTCATACAGGATGCAATTATTTTCGTCTGTACGAAAATGGGTTTTTCATTAAATTGAAAGCTTTTGAACTCAAATGTCATCACTTCAAATATCCCTTTCAAACCCCTATTCTCCTAGAACATCTCTATGGCAAGCTTTAGCAAAAGGAAAAAGGTTCTAGCCAAGGGTCCACCAAAAAACTTTAGTGATAACTTTCTGTCCAAGGCCAACAAAGAGTCATTTCCTAGATTTTCCTATGCTAAGATCACCCCTTCTAGAGTTCTTCTACAAGAATAATTAAACTTTAAGGTAATGAATCTGTTTGCTTCCACTCAATTATTCTCTATTAAGAAATCAATATAAATTATCTTGTCTCACTTTTAATCTTGTTTTGAAATGCATGTTAGCCTATATGAAAATCCCTAAAATTTTTTATCTTACAAGTGCTATACCTTAAACTGCAAGTCAAAAATGAATTCATTAGAATATCTAATTTTTCTAAAATTAAGTTTTGCTTATAACTTGATATAATTAAGAATGTCAATTTCATGTCTCATATTAGACTACATTAATGCTTAATATTATTGTTGCAATTGTGATAATTTCTTATTTTATATTTCACTTATCAATAAATATTGTTATACTTAAAAAAATTTGAAATTTTTTATTATTGATTTTGGAAAGATCAAGATTACTCTCAAAAAATGTACAAATGTATAAAAATTAAAAGGAATATGCAATGATTCGTAATTTGAAAAAGAGACACAAAATAAGCCCATAAGTAAAAAGATGCACGGTGTAGTGCAAGAAGGGAATTTGTATGTTGAGAAAGGAAGGAAATAAACAAATTGCAGTTGAAGACTCAAATTCAATTGATAAAGGAGATGATTTCAGTCATATGAAGAAGAGGAAATCCAAAAAGCTCGAAGACCTTTTTTTTCCCTCGGTCCTATTAGCAATACTACAAGGAGTAGAAGATTGCAGTCGGATTTGAAAGGCAAAGTGGGAGTGACTCTCACAGTTCTTTTTCAATGAATTCTTTGGTATATTGGAATTGTAGAGGAGTAAAAAAGAAAAGTGCTTGTCTATACATGAAGGAAATTGTTAAATTACCGAATGCCATTTTTTTGGGTTTGCTTGAAACAAAAATCTCTAATTTTGATATTAGAGAAGTAAAGAAACTGATGGGAGAAGAATTGGAATTTGATTTGGTTCCTTCTAATGGCCTTTCTGGGGGTATTATTGTTCTATGGAACTCAAACTTTGCTGAGTTTTCTAAGGTGGCATCTTCATCCCAATGCCTAATTGGAGACTTGACCATTAACAGAAATTATAAAATGAGGGTGGCTGCGGTCTATGGAAGCAAAGAAATTATCAAAAGAAGGGAATTATGGGTGCTTCTGGAGTTTTATAATGTGAAGGAGTATCCTTTGGTGGTTGGAGGAGATTTTAATTGTATCACCTCCAAAGAAGACAAAAGAGGAGGGAAAAAATTCTGTTTTTCTCTAGGAGCTAGAGAAATGGGATCTTTCATTTCTAACAATGATTTACATGAGATTGGATTTATAGGTCCAAGGTTCACATGGTGCAACAACAAATCTGGAGGTGCGCGGATTTTGGAGAGACTTGACAGGTGCTTTCTTAATTCTTCTTCTTTGAATTATTTCTCTCAATTAACCGTGAGACATCTAGCTAGAATTGCATCCGATCATAGCCCTTTGGTTCTTAATTTATGCAATTTTAATTCCACAAATAAGAGGAGAATTATCTTTGAGGATATTTGGGGGTCATTTCCTGCATCATTTGCTGTGGTAAAGAAGGAATGGAATAAGAAATTCAGTGGGGATTACTCGCAAATTCGAAATGTCAAGTGTAAAAGAATGCTCAAAGCACTATTCTGGAGTAAGGCTAAGCTAAGGAATCTTGAAGATCTTAAAAGCAACTTAATGGAAGATATTCTCAAGCTACAAATTACTGAAGCTGAAGTTGGCTGGCTATCCGAAGATGACTGTTGGAAGATGAAATCCAAAGTTGCTGAGCTAAATTCTACTATGGCCCAGTTATGTAGTTGGTGGAAACAAAGAGCTAAAGTAAAATGGATGAAGGAGGGAGATTGCAACTCTAAGTTCTATCACTCATATGCTAGTGCTAGAAGGATTGGCAACAAGATCTTGAAAATCAAAAATGAGAATGGAATAGTTCTTGAAGAACAAAGCCAAATTGTAGATGTATTCATGCAATTTTTCAGCATCAAGTGGAAACAAAGAAGTTGTAATTTGGATGATTGGCCCAATCCAGGTAAGATTTTGAATATGGAGGAAAAAGACAATTTGTCCAAGGAATTCACTGTGGAGGAAATTGAATTTGTCATCAAAAATCTGGGAAATAACATTGCTCCGGGTAGTGATGGGATCACTTACTCATTTATTAAATTTTACTAGAATATTGTAAAGGAAGACTTTGCAAATGCTTTAAACCATTTTCTGAATTATGGAAATATGGACTATAATTGGAAAGACACGCTTGTGGTCCTCATTCCAAAGGTCTCTAATCCTTTGATGCCTTCAAATTATAGGCCTATAAGCCTTTGTAACTAAGTTTTTAAAATTGCCGCAAAAGTTATTTTGAACAGGATTATGCCGGTTATTCCATTACTTATCTCAGAGGAGCAAGCTGCTTTTATCAAAGAAAGATCCATCTCAGATCATATACTGAATGCCCAAGAAATGTTTCATAAATTTTGGTACTCTAAGGTAGCTAGTGGGATGGTGGCTTACAAAGTTGACATGGAACAAGCATATGACTCTATGAGTTTGAAAACCTTAAAACAGGTTTTGAAATATTTTGAATTCTCAGAGATGATTTCAAATCTAATTTTGGAATGTGTTTTAGATCCCAGATTTTCTATTATGATAAATGGGAATCCATCTGGATGGATCAAGGCCGAAAGTGGATTTCTTCAATGGTACCCCTTGTCCCCCATCTTATTCATTCTGTGTTCCCAGCTTCTTACAAATGCTTTCACAAATTCATCTATTGGAATTGGAGTATGCTCCAACAGTCCTAGGATATCACACTTACTATTTTCATATGATGTTATGTTTTCTCAGTAGCTACACGGAAGGCGGTTCTTGAAGTTAAAGCCATTCTTTCCAAATTTAGCATGTGGACAGGTCAGAAAATCAACACTAAGAAATCTGCCATTATATTTGGAAGTAATGTTAATAGAAGGAAGAAGAAGCAGATATCCAGAATTATTGGATTTAAACAAGTAAAGGAACTTGTTTACCTTGGTATTAAAATGTCTTTGAGAAGAATGGTGGCTAGTGACTTCTATTTCATCATTGAGAAAGTACTTAAATTTCTCAATATTTGGGGATCAAAGTCTTTATCACTAGCAGGGAAGATTGTTCTTATTAAAACTATTATTCTAGCTATTCCTAATTATTTCAGCTCTCACTCCTTGGTGCCATTGAAAGTCCTTAATTAGATTGATAAAATCTGTAGAGGATTTCTTTGGAAGAAAGGTGGTGGAAGTCCAAGACTTCATTATATCAGTTGGAACAATCTGTGCCAGTCAATGAAGAAAGGGGGTTGT